AAGCCTGCCTGACCTGGCCTGGGTGTGGTCCCGGAGGCCAATAATCGCCTTACGCTAGGTCTTCGAGAATTCTGGAATGCGGTGCGCTGCTGGACTCGGCCGGGCGAATTGAAGGCATTAAGAACATGGAAAAATTTAACCATACTTACAGAGAATTACGTTCGGTCCAGTCCATCATGGCAGGATACACATGTTTTTTTTTCATGTTAACATAAAGAAATTGAAGTATTAATAACCTAAGGTATGTCCAAAATAGGTGTTTGAGGTGTTTTTTCCAGGATTGATATGACATCCATTGATTTTCCAGCCTTGCTAAGGTTTGCTATTCTCTCTCTCTCTCTCTCTCTCTCTCTCTCTCTCTCTCTCTCTCTCTCTCTCTCTCTCTCTCTCTCTCTCACTCTCTCAAGTGCACACACCCATGTACATACAGATACACAAACACACATACACACACATATATAATGTAATATATATATATATATATATATATATATATATATATATATATATATATATATATATATATATATACATATACTTATATATATATACATATACTTACATACATATATAATGTAATATATATATATATATATATATATATATATATATATATATATATATATATATATATATATATATATATATATATATATATATATATAATGTATGTATCTATATGCACACACACACACAAATATATATTTGTGTGTGTGTGTGTGTGTGTGGGTGTGTGGGTGTGGGTGTGTGTGTACGTGTGTGTGTATATATACATATGCACACACACACACACACACATACATGTGTGTATATATAATGTGGTATGTATATTTATATGTATATACGTAAATGTAAATAATTACTTAAATTAGGGAATGTTCCATAATATATAACGTATCTATATTATATATATATATATATATATATATATATATATATATATATATATATATATATATATATATATATATGTATTGGAAGACAGGCACATATATAAATCTGTATATCTACATTTATATATCTATCTACCCATCTATCCATTCGTGTATGTATGTAAAACAAGTGTGTATACATGCATGTATGTATGTATACACAAATGCATCCATCCATCCAATCCATTTATCTTTCTATCTATACACCTACCCATCCCCCCCCCCCTATCTATAAAGCGACTGCATGCGACTCCCCGTCAGCAGAGAGCCATTAAACTCCCTCCCCAGAAATCCTCATGCGACGCTCGCCTCCCTCCCCGCAGGCTTTCCCAGGCTCACTTGGAGAGAGTCGTTAGGCATTAATATGAACCCTCTTGACGGGGAATCTGCGACCCCAAAGAAGGCTTTCGATCCCGCCAATAACAGGCAGTGGTTGATGGAAGGGGGGGGGGCAAGTTGTTGACCGTCTTGACCATCTCGAGTCTTTCTTCTTCTCCTTCCCTGTTCCTATACTTCTCCCCTTGCTCTTCCTCCCTTTCCCTCTTCCTCTATCTCCCACCTTCTCTCCCTTCCCTCTCCTCTCCCTCCCTTTCCCTCTTCTAACTCTCCACTCTTCTTCCTTCTCTCTCCTCTCCCTTCCCTCCCTTTCGCTCCTGTCTCTCCTCTCTCCTCTCCCTCCTCTCCTCTACCCTCCTCTCTCCTCTCCCTCCCCTTCTCTACCCTCCTCTGCCTCCCCTCACCTCCCTCCTCTCCCTCCCCACCTGACCCGTCCCCGGGGTCCCTCTTGTCATGCCTCGGGCTTCTGAACCTTCACTAAAACAATGCCGACGTAGATATACGGAGAAATCCATCCCGTGTCTTACTTCACGTTGTTTATTTCATAAAAACAGATTTCTTTCTTCGTGAGGAACTGGTTTTGTCTTTGGTTTAACCTTGCTTAAAATTTCGGCAAAAATAAAAATATGCTGTGACGTGGCTCAGAGGTGATATATCATTCCCGTGGACTGACGAGACATGATTCTAACAGGATGAGTAAATAAACAGAATGTGTGGGCATCAACATCTCCACGCAGTCAACGGCTTTTCCTGGAGTCGGAGGCTTGCACCGAGAGAATAACAGTGATAGTGAAGGATGAGCGCTGTTGGCTCTATCAGACCCATCACCGTCGAGCCATTTTTTGCTCATGGCCGCTACATACAGACGGTTAGCTGTTGCTTTGGGTAGCTTAAAGGTAAAATATTTCTAATAAACAGTGAGCATGATGGAAGAATTAAGCTTAAATTGTAGATGTATTATGATCACAGACATACTTTCTTAATTCCAGTTGAAATTACGGGAGCACGTGGCGGTCGGACGACAGGTCAGCAGCCAGCCCACACGCCTGTGACTCCTCCCACCTCGCCACACGACAGCTACGTCAGCACCGTCGAGCGCTCCCATTGGCCCCGCAACTATGACGACATATACCGGCGCGCTGCTATTGGACAAGACGCTCACCCAGCGTAACTCCCTTCTTATAAATGACGGACACCTCGTAGTTTCGCTCAGTACCCACGGATTTGTCGTA